CCCGCCAACAATGCCCGCCAAGTGCTCGTTTGTTTGCCGCACAGCTTACATTATGGCAAGATAATTGAAAAGTGTGTTTTCATCCGGCACGTCATTTCTAACTGTGCATACATTGTGCAGGAACAATGACAAATGGGACATTAAAGACAAGGTCTGAACGAGACACGATTCTCCGATATTGTATGAGCGGTCCCGGGACCGTCTTTGAGCCGGGGCTGTGCTCCTTCTTGGCTCACCCCAGCTGCTGGTTTAGATACCCCCAAAAAACTTGGCCTCCAATCTCCAGCTGCAGTCAACAAGTAAAAGCCTTATAATAATCATTACTCGCCACCTCAACGGAAGGGGGGGGGGAGACTATTTCCTCTTGGTCCTCTATACACCCCTGCAGAGGCATAAAAGACTCACTGATTATCAAGTTTGAAAAAAAAAAATTAAAAGGGGGCGTTGACACTCGATGGTCTTGTAACATAGGCACCTGTTGTTGAAGAGTTGAAAGACCAAGAGTCATTGCTGTGGCCAATTGTCTTCTTTTGGCTTATTAACTTCGCTCGTCTGAATCTGCTCTTGAACTCTCCTGCGTCCGCCATAGTCCAGGCTTATCATCCAGCATATTGGAGCCGGATAGGCTATGTCGTGTTACCTCAACCGAGACGCCGAGCCCTAGCAGACGAAATCGCCGCCATGTTGAACTGCGGCAGAGCGTCGGGCGGTGGAAAAAAAGTTTACGTCGATGCAACAACATGTTTCGACGGCAACGCGTGCGATGATTGTGATGGAAATGAACCAGCCGTCTGCAGTCTGCCGCGCTTTAACTATCGAGACCCCCCCCCTTAAAAAACGACGCGGTCAACTTCTGTTCCTAAAATGTTCCACTTTAGGGGACGCTCGAAAAACAATTCGAATCTGCGCACAAGATTTCCAATTTTAGAGACAAACTCTCACATTTTTCTGGGCCCTCATTACACAGTCACCTGCCCCAAACCCCAAATCCAACGTTTTCTTTCTTTTAGTATGACCCGCCGTGGTTTCCATGTCTTCATTTCTCTCGTTAAAGAATGACAGATGAAGAAATGTAGGGCCGTGGACCATCGTTTGGTGCCGTCCTGATCACGTGCGGCTGAATTGGCCGGTCGATGTTGTCCCTGATACAGACCTCCAGCGCAATCTGTCATTCCCCGGACGCCACGAACTCACTTTCCCAAACTCAGTTTGTTTTGCAACTCGGTAAAAAAAAATAAGTGGAACGTAAATTTTTGGTGCCGGTATTAGTGGCTTTTCCCTTCCGTTGGACAACATTTTCAAACTCTTTTCAGACAAGATGTGTAGGCCACATCACATTTTAGGGGTGAAGACATTTTGATGTTTTTTTATAAAGAAAGGTAAAAATTAACAGAAGTTTGATTTTTAAAATTCAGCCACAGAATTTTCCAGCTTGAGAACACACAACTATAAAGAAAGTTTTTCAGGGGGGCGTAGCTGTAGGTAACAGTAGAGGAGAGATTTTGGGTAGCAAAATTTTCCTCTTAAATTGGGCATTTCTGAAAGCTGGGGAATTGGTGAAAAGTGCTTTTAACTTTGTGCAAATTGTTGAGAGAGTCGTTCGCTAAAAAAAAAAATCCCCTACGCAGTACCTCTTGTCTTCTATACCTGCCCCGCCCACAAAGAATCTGACCCCTCCTGACTTTTTTTTTCTAAAGCTCAAACCATGAGCTGCTGATCATCAGTGAACGTCATTCTAAAAGGGCCAATGCGCTCTCATGTCCTGCCATAATTTCTACTGGAAAATGCAGAGAATATTTTTAATGAACCAGCATGAGAAATGATGCGTTATTGGCCTTATTTACATGTTCAACAGAGATGGGATTCGAGCACACAGTGCCGGGATTGTTTAATTCGAGTATTTTCAGGGACATTTGGGCTAATCAGGTCGGAGTGTATCTAGGGCAACGTAGGATTCATACCTCCAATCCTCTAACCAGCAGTCACAAGCCGTAATCGCTTGACCACTTGTACCCCTGGGTAGGTGCATAGTATATGCATTATACTACACAGAGCGCTTTATCTGAAATAAGATAAATAATAACATCGTTCATAAGCAAGCTGACGATGTTGGAGCAGTGCAGCAGTTTGAGTACATTTTGCAGGGAAGGGTGGGCTTGTGTGTCCCACATTTTTGTGGAGGGCGCACAGTAGGTTCGGTCCAGGGCTGTATAAAGAGAGTTGCGACATGAGTGTCTGAACTGTTGAAACCAAAATGGTGGATTGCTCGTCAGTGCTCTTGGATAATGAGCACACAATAGCTGCACACTGTACTGCACACATAGTGAACAGCCATTTTGGTTCCAAAGTGTGAAGTTGGCGCAAACTTATACAGCTCTAGTTCGGTGCAGGTTAAAACACTGACCTAAACGGGCCATCATGATTTATTCCTTTTCTAATTCTGAGCGGGGTGAGGGTACAGGCCTAGAGTGGGGGAGGGGGCGTGCCCCATGCTGCCCCAATTAGCATGTCAACACAATACGGGCGATTCACAATAGTGCGCCTCCAAGAGTTTGCAACGCGTTGGCCAATCACAACGCGCGAAATTTGTCGACCCTTTCCAAACGCACACTGGGTCGACAGATTTCGCGCATTGTGATTGGCCAACGCTTTGCAAACTCTTGGAGGCGCACTATCGTGAAACGCCCGTGCATGCATTTAATTTGACATATTTATTTGTTTCTTTATTTGAATACCAAATTCATGTAATGTAGGCTAGTTGATTACACACACAAAAAGAGGAAAGGCAAGAAGATAAGTGTCCTTCCCGTTCCACTGCCTTAACCACACAAAACAGTACAACAATCTAAAGAAAGGATAGTGGAACACGACGGTACAAGTCAACCGAGACAACATAGAGTACCGAAGTGTGACGTCACTGTGAACCAGAAAGTGCAGTGCAAACGAATGGAGTACGCGCGCGTGTTGGTTCACGCGCTGGTTCTCGCGCTAATGCCTTTTACACACTAATTGTGCGTGTGACGTATTCACTTTGGTACTCTATAGCACAACAAAACACGTAACGTAATGCAACAGGGCACGTCACAATAGCAAGGGTAGTGCAACAGTATGGAGCAACAGCATCGTACAGAACAACCAGAGAGCTGCTTAAGCACAAAATCTGTTTAAGCAGGAAAAAACTGTGCTTAATAAACAAAGGTTACCAGCTCAAACTCTATCTGATAATCATGCTAACCAAAAACAGCTAGATACAGTCCCAAAGAATATACATCACATGGAGTTTTGGCTGGTCACCTACTTTATCAAGTAAGGTTTTTTCGCGCTTAAGCAAATTTTGTGCTTAAAGAGCTCTATGAAATTGGGCCGAGAACAGTAGTGGACAGCATAACGCAACACAGTACCATGCAACATAAGAAGCATTTTTTTGTCCACGTAAAATAACAGCACAGTGACGTATTTTTGGTGTTCCAGAGCAGAGCAGAAACAAAAGTTTTTCAGTGGAAGAACTAGAGACGAGATGGGCTTGGCTAAATTTGAAATAGACAGAGTGATGAATGGATAATTCTTTCTGTTTGGTGTTTGCGAACTGATAAGCCCAATTAAAGGTTCTGCGTGTTAAGTCGTCTCCTATCTTCTGTTTGAAAGGGCAGAAAAGGAAGGCAGCATGGGCCGCTCATTCCCACATTTAAAGATCGATCATCCTCAAGAGAACAAATCGGTAGAAACTAAGGTACTGAGGAGAAAACAAGAAGGAAACGCGAGCCATCGCAGGCAGTTCCTAATCGCTTTTGTATTGGTATGCGACTATGAAAAATGGCAGCCTATACCCATTGAATTTCGAACATAAACACGCGCGTTTTGTTTGATGTTTGACTGTCAACCGTACGCATGCAGGGATGCAAACTCCCATAATCCACGCTCGATTTCTACAAATGATTAGCCATTTTATCTCATTGTTTTCCTCTTTCTCTTTCCTTTTTTTTCTTCTACAGCTATCTCAACCCAGCGGTTTCGCCCACGAGTTTATGCAGATATTTCGATCGCTAAAACAAACAGCTCGCGTGGCTGAAGGGCTCTTGCCGTATTGTGCTGAGCGCGGGAATTTTTGCTCGCCTGTACACCTGTTGGCAAGGCGAATTTATAAAAAAAAAAGAGAACAGGGCCGCGTTGCTAGGAAGAAATGACGATATCCAGTCAGTGTTTATAGGCACCTAAGCCCTTTAATTACCCATCAAGTCGAAGGAAGTGGTGTGTAAGTGCTGCACCGGTTTGCACGGGGCCCAAGCCCACCGGCACTTCATAAAAAGCCCTTCGTACTCGACCGCGAAAAATTCTGGCATTCTAGCAATACGTCTGCAGCAATCCTTGAGATCAAATTAACAACCCAGCGGACGAAAATGCCGCCTCGGCTGTATTTCCCTCTGAAAACAATGCTAATGTATATACTTTATTGGAGAAGAATTAGCAGAACATAAGTAGATGTAGGGTTGGTTTCAGTTGCAATGGGTGAGTGAGACTCCTCACACTAAATATTTTGCTGGATCTGCAGTTCTGAAGAGAGAGGACCCAAGAAGGGTAGATTTGCGAGAGCCTGATCGTCAAAAGAGGGGTAATAACCGAATTAAACTAAGATCTTTGTAAACTTTGTTGTCTTTTTTAAAATCCACCACCCACCATTTGCATACCAGAATCGTGTTCCCGGTCGTCACGGTGGGGGGGGGAGGGGTCGAGGTGAGGGCTAGAGAAGAGCAACACGAACACTATGGGTGCATCCGATAAATACCTTGCAGGAGGTAACTCGTGTTTAACCTCGTCCCCACCGTCTCGCTTGTTTGACACAGCACACGCGGCCACAGATGATGCGCGCCCATCAGCTACCCACCCTCCCCAGTCTCCATTTTCCGTTTCAAAGTAGAGGACAAAATGTGATTCATTATTCAGAAGGTCACGTGACCGCAAAAAGGCATGCACCACATCAATAATGACATGAAACCCACGACTCTTCTTTTCTGTGGTGAGATCATTTTATTGCGAAATTCGAGCTTTGCTTGAGGGCGAACCTCAAATTGCTGACCAGGATCGACTTATGTAACCGTTAGATAAAAATTTTGATCCGCATTTTCCCTTTTTTAATTATTAAAAATCATTTCCTTATCACCATTTCCCCAAAGTACAAAAACAATGATATCGAGCCAAAACCTTTTTGCTAGCATTTCAATTATTTCATAAAAACATAATTGTGAAATAGATTCAATATTAACAAGATAAATAATTTTTGTACAAGAAATAAAATAATCTGTCTCGTAATTCATCCAATATATTACATTATATTTGCTCCGTTACTTTACATTGATATCCACACAAAAAAATCGGCGAATAATAAAAAATGACAACGTTCGTCGATAGGAACAGCTCAGATTTGTCTAAATATTTAAGACAAGCAAAAATCGAAGCCGAGCAACACATGTAGTGGGTGAATTAGATTCTTAGCTCTAAAAGATCTGTCGGCCAAAAGTACATTGAATCATACTTGTTCCTGCAAGTGTAGGAGTTTTCTCATGCCCCAAAAAGTCTTTGCTGAATTTAATCATCTAAATGATCATTATATTCGTCTCTCTTATCATGAATCGGCTTGTAATGGATTTTATTTTAATCTTCCAGTCCGGCCCCCAGCTAGAAACCTAAAAACGAATGAGATCGTGAACTATCACGAAAATATTTCATTCCATCAGAGGCGTAGTATGCATGCAAACAATTCTTACATGAAAAATAAAAATGACAAAAACATGCACAATTATAAAGAAAAATGAAGAAATGAAACTCATATAGCGCGATCTATTGGACTTTTTTCTTTTTTTTATACTGTAGGCATAGTTTCGACAGTAGCCCCCTTAACCGCCATTGTTCTTCTAGAGATCGTAAATTCTAAAAATCCGCTGCACGCGAAATACATAATCACCGAGTTCAGCTTTTTGTATTTGAAAGTATGCAGAGGGATATTGCACAATGTTGTGCCATAGAAAACTGAATTTTTAAAAAAAGCGATGAAATTGTTCTATATACACTGCAAAAGAATTGTCTTAAAACTTGGACATACTGTTACATCTGTCGATTTTTTTAACCGTAACCTGACGCTAAGTTTAAATGTCCAGTGTACAATTTAACACTTGAATTTTGGCAGTTTTCTTTCTAAAATAATTATGGCACGGCGGTGAACACCATCTTTTTTTATACAAAAGAAATCTGTCTTCGATCTTGACCTTCCTTATCTGTACATTGTTGATTTCAGCAGTTCAATCAAGAAATTTACAAAGGTAACCATGGATACGGCCCCCGAAGTAATACTGTTGGCGGTGATGGCATTTTTTAAGCAATGAAAGGTGTCCAAGGCTGAAGAACTAATTCTGTTAATGGGACCTAACTCAAACAGGCCCCAGAGAGAATGACTGTGTAAAGTCACATGCACTGTTTCACTTTCGAATAATGCCAGATCCTACATTGCAGACACACTGACGCAGTTTGGGCGAACATTTTTGAAATTCGTGTCATCGACAAGCAGGTGCAAACCGCAACAAACCTTGATGCTAGCAAGCATGCGCTTTTACTCAGTTCAAAGGTACATGAATAATTCAAATTTGGGTACACTGTCCGCCCAAAAATAGTGGCAATGTCAAACTTTAAGCCTTGATTGTGGCTGGATATTCCCCACCAGTGGATGATTGCTGGTGGTGAGTGCCTTTATTTCCAAATTCAAAAGGACAGTGTTTCAGGGGAGATTCGCAAAAGTAATCCAAGATGGCGGCAACGTTTGACGCACTGTAATGCGCTTTGCCTTTCGATGCCAGGGATGATTCTTGGACCACTGTTGTGTTATTGCAAGACTTCGAAGACCTTAGAGAAGACAATGACAATTTCTGCTATAGCACCAGGGGTGGCGAGCCCAGGTGACTGTCCAGTGACGTTTCAGCGTCCAGGGACGTGAACTTGACTTGCCGTGGGTCTTCGGGTGTCCAGACCTTAGCCGTCATCGTGTTGTTGGGCCCAGGGGAAGTCTTCTTCTCGCTACCCCAGGAGAGGGAGTGTCCGGCCAGTGGCTGAAGGCCACCCATTTCTGACGGTGATGGCGAACCTGAAGCAACAAAACAGGTAAATCATTTTTTTTTAAATTATCCATGTCTTTATTTTATTCTGTGCACTTCTTGTCGATTTTCTTGACTGATTAATTCTGTTTTTGAAAGATAAAAGTATATGATAAATTTTCTATTCGTGTCACAGTGACATACAGCTGTGTGGCTCGGTCATATTTGATCAAGTGGCTTCCAAGTAAATTCATTCAACTTCCAATTTTTTTAAAGGGACAAGCATTTTTTTAAAAGCACTGTTTGTGGGAAAGCGTGCATTGAATTCAGGTGTACTGAGACCGCCCTCAACGATAAATCTAAGAAATGTAACACACCAATGTAAACTACTTCGTTGGCGCAGATATGTACATATACATTTTTAGACCCACCAACCTTAACCAATGTTGCTGCCTAGTTCTAAAGGAAAAATCGTTACGTGGCACAAGAGCCGTCAAATCGAATGGCATAAGTAATTAATTAAAAATGCCATCAACCGTGATGTACTTTGAACAGCAAAAAATGTACGGTGTAATTAAGTCGTGCGTTACTCACACTGGGATAAATGGCAATTAATAACCGCCCAAAGCCATCGCATGTTGGACTGGTAAATGTCGGTTCCCAAACCTAACCAATTGGTGTCATAAAGTGTTCAATATTATCTTAAACATTTTATTGAAAACAATATGTGTTCTCGCCAGGAAAAGCCCCCTGTGTGACAAAATCTTTGTCCTAAAATGTCGAAGTGGATACTCTGTTTTTCACTTGAAATTTACAATACGAATTGACTACCGTATCCCATACGGGATGTGTAAATTAATAAGAAAAGATTTACATGCCCCGAGCGTGTTATAAACTTCATCTTGTTTTGTTACTGGTGTATTATTGTTATTATTGGCGTGTACACAATCCAAGGGTTCGGACACTAATACCCAAGGGTCCACCTGCAACCTAATAGTTATTACTAATCAAAAATGACTCCAACCACTTAAGGAAAAATAGCCCACGGAGGAATTGGCGGGGCGTGGTATGGGTCCCAGTCGGCCGGCTTTAGCGGGTTGGCTCTGGCGGCTGGCCCGGGGCTCTCGAGCCACGAGTACCCACCATGGTGCCCGTGTGCGGCTCGCTGACCACGCCGACCCGATTGCGCTTGACTCGGGGGCACTATACTTGTGTATTTGACGAGGTCTGTCACACACACCGCTGTGGCCACGTGTACGCGTAAGGCCTCGGCTTTGCTTAAGTTAAACTCGTAAGGACTTTGATAAATAGAAAGGTCAATTTGGCGGGATACTTGAAAAACTCTTGGACAACCAGCACGTTTTAATAACCTGCAATTTGGCAAAGATGGGTGCTGCACCGTGTTGTCATGCGACAGACCGGTAGATTAGTGATTGGAAATCTCGAAAGATAAGCATCTACAAAATCACTAATGAGGCGCATGACTTGCGTAAATAAAGGCTTCAGGTTCGAATCTTTTTGTGTGTGTAATATTTAAAGTCGCTTGTAGGGAAACACATTTATGTAGAGAATCTCGAAATGACATCGAGCGAAGTTGTACTTTTATTGGAAAAGTGGCGTTTTAACAGGATAAACTACAGAAACCATATTACACTTCCCTCCCCACCGTTTGTCTGTTTATTTTGCGCGTGCATGAGCCCACACCAATATCCGGTATTGTCGGCGTCCGGGACACAATAAACAAAATCCACAAACGAATGTCCAGTTGTGAATCCCGCTTGACCACGAATTCACTCTCGATTCGTCACATCTAAAGATTCATGTAAATCCCTCGGCTGGCTCTAAAAAAGCCATTCACTCCAATGGTTGTACTACATGCGACTTAGAGCGTCGCAGCAGTTCCTGCCTGTGCGTCACACTGCTTAAGAACCCCCCCTCAAAATTCACTAATGCCGATTAATGGGGTCTTTCACGTACATCCAGCCAACCATTCTCATCACCGCGTTTGGCGAGTCGGGTTTGGGCGGAGAGGGTTAAGCTCCTTTGCACCCCTCCCCCATGAACCCCAGACGAGCACCCGGGCTCCTGCGATTGGGACCTGCTTAAGGGGGAGACTATTGCCAAAACATGAAGCACCTGATGTGAACAGCGAGAGGGGGATTAACAGGGCCCATGCTGACATCAAAAGGGGGGGGGGTGACTGGGCAACAGAAAGGGGAGAGGGGCCCGGCGATGTCAGGGGAGAGGGTGCTGGTATTGTGTGGATGTTTGGCCGGTGTTTGGGTATTAATGGCTTTGGTAGTCCGCTTAGGGACGCATAATAGGGTACGACAGGTACGCTCCGGTCTGTATGACCGAAGATGTTGTAGCCCTAAATAAGTCATGATTAAGCGACTAACTACTTCATCTTGAGATGGTTGTTTGTCTTGTCGTCTTTCGTCCTGTTGGTAGATTAGCCCCTCGTCATTTGATCTAGGAGGAAAACTGATGATAGCTTGAACTATTCAAGTATTGAGACCCTGTTTTGTAAGCAGAAAGTTACAACTTTCTTTGTAATTGCCATTTGTAAGCTACGGAGGTTGCTTATTTAGAGTAGAACAGTAAGGAAAATATTTTGTGGATGGCAGTAACAACGTGAGAAAAAAGTCAGCGCTCAAAATACAGTACCAAAAGCCCTATAGTGTTGAGTTTGTGTGCATATTAGTAGGTTTTCGCAGTTCTAATGAAGACGCTGCAGTTAGGCAGTTACTCGCAATGAAGGGAAAAAATAATTGAACAGATAAAGCTTTGAATGGTCAGACGTCAGGGGCCAAACTTAATCTCGAGCTGGAAAGCATCTTTCGGTACCACTTCAAGTTTCCGACATGAATGTGTCACCGCCAAGATAATTTGTGATTCTGGAACAGTCAGATTGTCAAACGACTGTGCAAATCGTGCAGCAAGGGTTCCGAAATGTAAACTTAAAGAGAAAAATATTGATTTTCCTCTTACATAACGATCTTCATTTAAAAGTTTTGAACAAAGGTCGACACCTTTGACCACAAAGGTGTCGACCTGACCTGAACAGTGTCATATACACAAGATACCAACCAAGATAAAACATTCCAGGGCGTCTCTTAACTGCCTTGTCACGTTCACAATTCTTGCATTTTAATTAATTAAGAGACCTGGGTATCTTACCATCTTTACAATGGTTGTCTTGCGTGTATCGACATGAAATTGTGGGACCTACCTCTGTGGCAAATGATGACTTTCTTCTGGTGGTCTTGGCCGCCGTTCTGCGATCCGTCCGAACTGTTGACGTCCGACGTGACCATTTCAGCCAGGAAGTTGATGTATCCAATAGCCAGCTTCAGGGTGTCCACCTTTGACAGCCTCTTCTCGTAGGGCAGGGTGGGTATGTGCTCCCGCAGGCCCTCGAAGGCGTCGTTGATGGACTGCATTCTCTTCCGCTCCCGCAGATTGGCCGCCTGCCTCTGATGGATCTGCTGCACGGGGCACTTGGCCTTCCTTCGCCGCCTCTTCACGCCGTCGTGGTGGGGCTGGTGGTGGTGCTCGTGGGAGACTCGCCGCCCGTACTGCTGATGATGCACCGGTATGACATCACCGAACGGCGCTCGCTCGTAGCCGCCGAACAAGGACGAGGGCGGCCGGTTTTCAAGCGGAATGTGTTCCATGTTTGCGTCCCAAAACATTTTTGTTCTCTCTCTCTTTGGTAATGCGTGTGCCTGCGTTTTGTGATTGTTCCTGCACCAATTACCTCAGCATTCGATAGTTAAGCTACTTCACTTTTTTTTCTCAGGGACATGAGTGGCTCGGCCGAGAGAGAGGCAGTGAGAGAAAAAAGGGGAGAAGTTGTTAGAGTGTTGCAGCGCACTGACGCCTCCTTTCTCACAAGAGTTTAGAGTGGTTAGTGGACTTGTGTTGGACACGCGCGGAAAGTTATATACAAAGTGCCTATACTTCCATCGATTGGACCAACGTTCGTGCGGTCTACGAGTCGCTGGCCGGACACGCCCATCGTTTGTTATTAGCATAATTAATGCACCCAGCGACCAATGATCGGGGGTGATTCTGTTGGAGATGGTGAGCGAGTGACCATTTATTTCATCTCCGTCGTTGATGATGTTGTGTACAAAAGTTGAATATACAGTCGGAAAGAAAGTACAGAGTAACTGCAGCCATATTTTGCTATCAATTACTCAAGTGATTTTTTCTGGCTTCGAATTTTTGAAAGACCGGCTCACATTAATAAGAAATTCGTCCAACATGAATTGGCCACAAAATTAGGCAGGCTTGTACTTTCTGAAAAAAAAAATCAGGCAGGCTTGTACTTTCTGAAAAAAAATCAGATTCGATGGTGGAGTCATTCAGCATTTATATAACAAAAATGAATGCATTATGGTTTTAGATGGTTTAGATTAGAAGCCACCAGAACTAAACAGACCGGAACTAAAGTGTACATACACAACCCAGGAGTATCACTCTCATTTGAATTAGGTATCGCCAGGAGAAGTTAACGAAGGCGTGAATTTTTGTGGAAATCGTGAAAATGAAAAAAGTGTCCAAAGACGAGAAGTGATCGACATAACTGGCCATGTGAAAGTAACAGGAAAGATTTCAAATGAAGTTTTCGAAAAAATAGTCATTCGTGCTGCTTTGGAACATCATCATTTTTTTGTTTAAATCGTCATCATCTTTTTTAAACAATCATTAATCAATATTATCCGGATATAATAAACAAAAGGTCCATTTATAGATTGAAGTGACCTGAAAATTAAGACAAAATTAAACCGTATTCAGAGCCAGCAACATTCCCTGTTACTCCTGCAGCATATGTAGGTAGCTGGACTCAAATCATCATTGCTAAGTTGAACCAACGCCTTTTGACTTAAGCGTGAGTATTCCCCCAGGAAGGTGGCCACCATGAACATTCCTTTGTCTGGTTCCTATTCTTTAATGAAAGAAATCAGGATATTAAATAGAATGAACGCACTGTTTAGCAACGAGGGTTAGTTTACGATGTCATTCCTCTATCTTGGAACAAACAAAAGGCAAATTTCCAATCGGATATTTGAAGCTGTGTAGTTGAAAAAAAAACACACACAAAAACTCAGTGTAAATTTAGGTCCAATCGTTAACAAATTCATCCTCCCTTGAGACCTCTTCCCCTCTCATTTCACACCTCGTCAGATGTCCACATCCGTAGGTTGACCCGGACATTAGAAATCGCTTTTGTCTCACTGAAGTGGTACGGCGGTCGGTTTGTTTGGCCAGCGCCCAATAACAGTCACTTCGTACACAAAAAATTGTCCAGGCATAACTGACATATGTGGAAAACCGTTCGCATTAGTGCTCTTGTGCAAAAAAAAAAAAAAAAAACCAATATTACTTTTATCATATACATGTATTTTTTTTACCCGTGACGTCTGAAAGCCTGTTCGCGAGGGACGGCAGGGGGCGCTGTCATTTTTCAGCATGGTTCATTGAAGCCGTCGGTCGCAGACTACCTGGCGCGTGCTGGTAAGCCGTGAAATATTATTAATTCATTTTGACCTATATCTTCCACTTTCGAAACTGGACAAGGCCCGAAGAAATCGCCACGCGCACTTGATTGGTGTTTGCCTTTTGAAATCAAAAGCAAACCTAAAACTTCGTGAAAGGAAAAGCAATTTTTTTTTCAACCTGTCAATAAATTTAACCAATTGCAGTGAGCTGTAGTTTTTTTCTTAAACTCCTTCCCACAACAAACATGCTTAGATTTTTATAATTTATTCGTTCCTTAATTTTATCCAGGATAGACCCAAACCGCGAAAGCTGGCTTTCCTTTGGGGCTCTGCAATAACGATTTCCAAATTAATACTGGAGAACTAGAAACAAAACTAAAGTAAAACCCAATTAACCCTAAAAGAGGCGAATTATTTTCGACCATCTCACAGCCGGGCTGGATTTCGCCTTTGAAAACTCGGCTGTCCCAAGTCCGATTTTTTCCTGTTTCAAAGAGCATGCATATCAAAACGCATATCAATATGAAATATGAAGTGTCAACTGCTCCAACATATGGTTTGTTGTTTGCGGTCATTTTAAAATTCACAGCCACATTCCTGTCAGCCCGCGCCCACGTGCATTAATAAGCTTGTCAGTGGGAAAACATACATTTATTAACCCCTCTCAGAAAAACGGGCGCCTTGAGACAATGAGATGTCCGATTTTATCCAAATTGGTATCAAAATGACCACAAGAAGTTACTAAAGAAATCTCGAAGGTTCAGAGCGTGAAAAACAATGCACGGCAACGATAACAGGAAAACGTTGAGCGGAGCGGATTCCAATCCCTAGTTCTTTTAGGTTTCATATGTAACAAAACAATACAAGAGCAAAGGACAAGATGTAGAGCCTGGTTATTTTAACGTTTTCAAATGAATACACTGCGCAGCGTTGGGGAATCTGACTGAAAGTGAGCCCCCCGCGAATACAGTCTGTTAGTTATTGTTCCTTCGAGCGTGCCGTCTTGACTTGTAATTTCATCAGTGAAATGGGTAGCTACGTCATGCATCACGTTGTTTTATCAAAGCAGCCGATATGTAGTTTAAATGCTGTGTGGCGGTTATCTAAAATGTATAGTACCCCACTTCTTAAGCCCACGTCCCGTGTCAACTTTTCTTTTTTGTGTTGTCTTTTCCGCCACGAATTTCGGTAGCGCTATTCGAACGACTTTTATTCGAAGCTGGTGTTATAAAGACATCTTTTCTTCACTTTGCAAGTGATGTGGAGGATTTGCATGGCTGCCATCTTGCAGGCCAGTGTTTTGTTCCACAGTGTAGGCACAAGGGAGGTTTCCCTGTGGAAGAAAACAACTGCCCTGCAATATGGCTACCACACAAACCATCTATAGTACTGAACATCCAATCTTATACCCTACCCTTCCTATGCATGAATGCCTTGTTTTGTTTTTAAAAAATTTTTAAAACTTGCTGAAGCAAGCCGACGGACGATCAAGCCCAAATAGATAATCGATATTCTTGGCATCTGGGACAGCAGTAGCTTCAATATTTTTTTTGGCGTCGGCGTTGAACGAGTGCCAGCAACCGTAGACTAATCAATTTTAATTTCGCGTACTTTGATTATGTTTTCCACGCGAACTGGTTTAAACCAACGAGGAATGTTTCGTTGTTGTGTTGTTGTTTTTTCCCGCAGATCCCTCGCGGCACGCCTAGATTGATTACTTCAGATCGAGAACAAATTTCGGGGATATTATTCGGCGGAATTCTGTCTTTGTGTGAGCCCGCGGGTGGACAGTATGGACTGGGGTTCCAAATTAATTCCGCTATATTTATTATTTAGTTTGTACGTGACTGTAAACTTAAGCAATTCAGCCAAAATACGCTGTCCCTAACATTCCCAAATCATCTGAATTCAATATGATTTTACAAGGGAGGGGACGGTTCATGCAGCATTTCTTCAGAACAAAATCACAAAGTATATTGAAACAAAAATTATAAATCCAGTTTTATTTTCAAAGTGAGAACAAACTCCGTGAGAATTAAGAATTCATAAATAATTATACCGTGTCCCAGAAAAAAACAAACAAATGTCAATTGGAAGGGGGAATTACTAAAAGGTCACATACTCTGTCGTTGATCACAACATAAACTGTACTGACTGTATTTTTCCGAAATATTACCATTTTAATTAAACAGATGTTTGAAGTTTTTAGGGGAAAAAAGAGGAACGCACTTAATGTGTCTGAAACCACAGACCTGAGACAATTACCATAATTGGTTTACACTGCAATTTCTAAGCTGCATTTCAAATGATTCATTTGCCCTTATATTCCATGGCAATTCGTCAGAGATTCCCCGATGGTCGGTAAACAATGTCTATTGCTGCTGTGAAAAAAAAATCTATTCTGCGTTGGCGTCCGTGCAGAACTTGGCGAGAAATGCTGACCTTGAAATTGTCAGCGTGCACGCGTTCCTTTGAAGTGAATTTCACAAAATAACGCCATTTGACCACTAATCCTTGGTTATGAAAGCCGACGCTGGCCTTCATCGTTTTATTTCAAACTCTCTCTGAATTCCCTTGCCATGATGGACCGGACTTGCTCGGCGATCTTCCGTGGCTCGCCCCGCCGATTCTAACGGTCGGGGATTTTTTGTCTATAACGGTCACCTCGATTTTACCCTGTCCATTCACACAAACATTCACCCTGAGCCGTCCTGTTCTTTCCCCCTTAACTGCCACACACACCTGTTAAATTATTTATAAATGTGAGATCCGCCCGCGTAAAATCCATATGCCGGTCCCGATCGTGTGAGACCGAACAGTTTGCGATGTCACACACAATACACGTACTACACACGAACAGATTTGGATCAATATTTTCGAAGCCTCAGTTTTGAGAGATTTTTTCTTTCTTTCCTTTCTTTCTTTCTTTCTCTCTCCTTTCTCTTGTCTCTCTATCTGGGGCATGGATGAGGAATGGGAAAAGTCGGACCGGCGATATGTTTTTGAGTGGGAAAGACCATGTGCGAGACAGCAGGCATGTTCTCACCGAGGACACGATGGGGACAAGGGTGTCCCACGTCCCCCCGTGCAACCCCAACCCCACCGCTAGATTGATTCGAAAGTCCAGAGGGGCCGACCCAATATCTCGAAAATCGGAAATGGTTCCGATTGCAAACACCAACGACATCAGACACACTAGTGATACAAAAAGTCATTGATGCACCATTCCGCTGCCAAAATTGTCTTCGGGCGAAGTTGTAGCGAGCTGCAACACTTTTGTTGCTTCATCGAAATCAACAAATTGAGGCCATTGTTATGCATTTTTGTAGCTTGCATATATATACCAAATTAATAAAAAATCTTAAAGCAGTCTGAATTCGTTGAAATTTGTTTTTTTCCAGGATTAAAAGCCATTAGTACATATGTAATTCCTTTT